CCCACAGAGGTACGCGAGCATCTCGAAGTCCGGCGGCGGCTCCGCCGACGGCGGCGCGGCGTCCTCGGCGGGCTCGTCGTCCTCGAAGCTCGCCCCGCGGGGCCGCCGCGGCCGCGACCCCTCGTCGTCGTGGGCGAGGTGGCCGCCGCGGCGCGGGCTGCCGCCGGCCGCGCCCGGCGGCGGCCGCGGCGCCTTGCTCTCGACGAGCGACGCGGAGTCGCGCGTGACGATCGTCGACGCGTCGAAGTTGACGAAGCCCGCGCCGCTGAGGGAGCCCATGTCCCGCAGCTTGGCCCGGCTCAGGTCGTTCATCTCCGCCAACGACGCGTACTCGAGGAGCCGCGCGTCGCGCGTCCGCGCGCGCGCCGCGTTCTCCGCGAGGAGCGCGTCGAGCTCCCGGGCCTGGTCCGCGACGACGGCCCGCATGTCGCCGTGCTCCCGCTGGAGCGTCGCGTAGGTGTGGCTCACCTTGGCGATCATCTCGCGCTGGGCCTTGGCGCCGGCCTCCGCGGACCGCGTCATCTCCGCGACCCAGTGGAGCTCGTCGGCCTTGACGCGCTCCTCCAGCGCCTCCATGTCGGCCGCGCGCCGCGCCGACGCGGCGTCGAAGTTCGCGTGGGCCTCGCCGAGCTTGCGCGTGACCTCGACCTTCATGGCCTGGTAGGCCGTCAGCAGCTCGAGCTGGCTGAGGATCTCGTCCGTCTGCCTTTTGGCCTCGAGGTCCGCCGCGCGCTCCCCGTCCTCGACGGCGGCCATGGCCCTGGCGTGGCCCTCCCGCAGGTCCTCGCGCTCCTTGACGATGCCCGCCTTCTGGGCCTCGAGGTCCTCGATGACCTGCGTCTTGGCGCCGATGACGCGGTCCCGGTCCTCGATGTTCGCCGCCATCGTGTCCGAGAGCTCGGCGAGGCGGCCCACGAGCTGCGCGTGCTCCACGCGCAGGTGGAGCACCGTCTCCTCGAGGACGGCGAGCTGCTCGCCGAGCGTCGACATGGTGTCTCGATGGGATTGATCTCAGGCTGCCATCTCCATCGGCAGTTTTGAGGGAAGCACCTTGACCTTGCATGCGATGTTGCTTTGCAGGACTGGGCATTTTTGACTCTGCTAATCCCCGCCAGGCCCCCGGAGAACCGCAGGGGGCGGGAAGATGTTTAGGCGAGTTCAGACGACGTTGCCGACGACCACTGGGGGGGCGGGCTGCTGGTAAGGCTGCTGGTAGGCCATGGGCTGCTGCGGGGGAGGCGACTGCACGACGACGGGAGCTTGCGCGACGACGCTCACGGACACTTCGATGTAGCACGGGAACCAAATCTCCCAGTCGTCCGCGCACGTCAGCACGCACCTCTCGAGGTCGCTCGGGACTCTATTCCAGCAGCTCGTTCGACGAAGGGCCAGGGTAACGCCATGTATGATATATTATTCACCGGCCGCGCTGAGCTTACGGCGCCCGCCGTCGGAAGCGCTTCTTGTTGGAAGTAAGCAAAATCTTACCGATGGCGACGCGCGGTGGAAAATCCCAGAGTGCTCAGGCTGGCGGGGACGAATGGACAAGTTTCTTAGAAAAATGTTCGAATTAAATTCGAGGGCCTGTCCCACGCGATCAAACGCGTCGGTTTCTGAGGGGTGGGAACAACGCGGGTTAACTTGTCCTCCCCGGAACCCCTAAGCTCAAGTCAGCTCCCGCGCCCGCTCAAGGTAGGCGCGTAGGCGGGGTGCGTCGCCTAATGCGCTAGAGAGAAAGATACACTGGCAAGAAAAGACTTGGCTGCCCCCGCGCGCCGCGCCGGACCCCTCCAGAGACAGGATCCCGGACCTACTTCTCGGAACTTCGCATGTTTCTGGCGATTCTTTACGCGGTCGCCTCACACGCGCCGCATGTCTTCGCGCAGGCGTCGCGCGCGCCGTCGATGCCGCAGCGGCGCGCGGGGTTGCGCGCGACGCTGACGCAGTCGAGCTTCTTGTTCTTCTTGTTGGTGTGCGACCACGTCGCGTCGTCGACGCACGCGCCCTCGGAGGGGCACGACGCGCAGGCGCGGACGCACTCCGTCAAGGCCCGCGCGCCGGTCGCGCCCTTCTTGCGGCACCGCTTCGTCGGCTTCCTCTCGACCCACGCGCAGGTCTTCGTCGGGGCGTCTTTCCGGTGCCAGGACTCGGAGTCGCGGCCCTTCTTCGACGCGCACGACGGCCCGGCGGCGCCGACGAACTCGCCCTCGCCCGCGCCGAACGCAGAGGCGTCGCGGACGTCGTCGAAGCCGCTGTGGTCGTTCTCGTCGCCGGCGCCAAGGTAGAGGACGTCGGAGCCGCCGCCGCCGTAGGCTTGGTTGTACGAGCCGACGAGCGACACGACGTCGTCGCCCTCGAGGCCGTCGACGGACGAGTCGTCGACGCGCGTGAGCTCGAAAGCGTCGTCGCCGTCGCCGCCGGAGACCTGAAGCCCCGCGGAGTCCGTCGCGACGATGACGTTGTCGCCCGTCGCCGCCGAAGACCTTGGCGTCCTTGACGGCGGCGAGCGTGATCGCGTCGCCGCCGTCGCCGCCGAAGACGACGTGGCCCCCGATCATCGCGGCGTCCGGGGCGGCGACGACGATGGCGTCGTCGCCGGGGCCGCCGTCGACGAAGGCGACGTCGCCCCGCGCGACGATGGCGTCGTCGCCGGCGCCGCCGTAGGCGCGCGCGTAGACGGACGTGTCGGCGTCGACGGCGTAGCCGCTCTGGAGGAGCGTGATGGCGTCGTCGCCCGCGCCGCCGCGGACCTCGCCGTACATGCCGCCGTCGGGACCGCCGCCGAGGATGACGACGTCGTCGCCGTCGCCGCCGTCGACGACGGCGTAGTTGCCCGTGACGAACGCGCAGTCGTCGAAACGCGTGAGGACGACGGCCGCGTAGTCGAGAGCGCCGCGGAAGCAGACGCAGGACGCACGCGCGCGAAAGTCCGCGCCGTCGCCGGGACCCACGGCCTCGCAGCTCCCGGGGCAGCAGGACTCGCACGTCGCCGCGGCCTCGTCGCAGGGCGGCGGCGGCGCGGGCGTCGGCGCGGGCGTCGGCGCGGGCGTCAGCTCGGGCGTCGGCTCGGGCGTCGGCGCCGGCGTCGGCTCGTAGCTCGGCGCGGGCGTCGGCGCCGGCGTCGTCGCGGGCGTCGGCTCGGGCGTCGGCTCGGGCGTCGGCGACGTCTTCGGCTCGTAGGTCGGCGCGGTCGCGGGCGTCGGCTCGGGCGTCGGGCGCGGCGTCGGCTCGGGCGTCGGGCGGGGCGTCGGCTCGGGCGTCGGGCGGGGCGTCGTCGCGCCGCCGTCCGCCGGGCAGGTGCCGCAGGCCGCGGGGCAGGCGTCGCGGGCCAACACCTTGGCCTTGGACTTGGCCTTGCAGCGCTTCAAGGGCTTCTCGCCGACCCACGCGCACTCTTGGCCCTTCTTGCTTCCTTTGTACCACGTCGTCGAGTCCGCGCAGGACGGCTCGCCGTCCTCGCCGTCCGCCGGGCAGGTGTCGCAGGCCACGGGGCAGGCGTCGCGGGCGAACACCTTGGCCTTGGACTTGGCCTCGCAGCGCTTCAAGGGCTTCTCGCCGACCCACGCGCACTCTTGGCCCTTCTTGCTTCCTTTGTACCACGTCGTCGAGTCCGCGCAGGACGGCTCGCCGTCCTCGCCGTCCGCCGGGCAGGTGTCGCAGGCCGCGGGGCAGGCGTCGCGGGCCGACACCTCGGCCTCGTCCTTGACCTTGCAGCGCTTCGCGGGCTTCCCGCCGACCCACGCGCAGGTTCGCGATTTCCCTTTCCCGTCCGTATGGCGCCACGTCTGCGAGTCCTCGCACGAATCAGCCGAGAGCCGGCGCTCCGCGGCCGCGGCGACCGGCGTCGTCCCCCGGGCCGCCGCGACGGCCGCCAGCGGCGCGGCCCGGTCGTAATCGGGTTGTCCCGCCACCGCGCTCAAGACACATGCCGCGACGACCGCGAACACGCAAGGAGCCCCCATGAAGGACGCCGAGCGCGACGACGGATATCGACGGGGCCGGTGGATGTGGTCGCGTCCGAAGAAGGCGCTTTAGAAGGCGTCGAGAGGCCGACGTGCTTCGAACGACGACGCGGGGCGGGGGCGGGCGTGTCGCAGGTGGTTGCGGCTCGCGAGCTCGGCTCGCGAGATGAAGTGCGAACCTGCCCACGACGCTCTCGGGACGCGTCGCCCCGAGTTCTCCCCGACGCACGACACGCTCGACACCCGCGACAATCGGTCGAAGGTCCCGTTATGAGGGAGCGGGGAGAGGGGCGGGGGGGGGGGGGGGGGCTTTCCAACGCGCGGTTCCCGTCGGGGGCCGGCGGGGGGTCC